GCCCGCGCTCCGTCCGCCCGCGCCCTGCGCAGCCGCTTACCGCGGGCCCTGGCGCACCGGCGGCCGCGCGAGGGCCGGGGACGCTTCCCGGTGCTCTCCCGCAGCCAGACGCGCTCCCGCAGCCGCTCCTGTGCGCCCTAAAACCAGTAGCCCCAACGTGAGAGAAACAAAAGGTATTTGCTGACGTGGGCGTTGGACAGAAACGCCCGAGGGCTGGGGACACAATTAAAGGGGCAACGCACAGATTTCAGGCACCAACCAGCGGCTTCGCCCACTCCCCCTGCCCTTGCCCACACCCCGCTGCACCCTCCGGAGGCGCGGCGCGCCCGGATTCCCTCGCGCAGGGCTGCGGAGCATTATTTTAGTCCAGAGATGCAGTCTTAAAATGTACTTTACGTTGGGGAAGGCGCCTCCGGAGGGCAGAAGGGCTGGATTTCTAGGATGTGGGGAATTCGATTTAGGGAAGAGGGAGGGGCCTAGGCGTGCCCACAATTACTGTGTAAGTACGTGTGACATTATTGTATTTAAGTTGAGCAACGTCAAATAGAAGACGCTTCCAGGGGATTTTCCCCTTGATTGAAGCAGTTATTTTAGTCTGGGATAACCCTGAATAAACCACTTCAGTCACAGGCATTTCATTCGCAGAGGAGAACCCAGACAGGCTAAGATAAATGAGCATAACTTTTAGTATGAAATTAGTAAAGGCAGTTTTTTTTTTTTCTTTTTTTTTTTTTGCGGAACCGGGGATTGAACTCATACTCTTGCGCTTGCTAGGGAAGGGCTTATTCCACTGAGCCATCTCCTCAGCCCCAATAAAGGCAGATTTTGTGTCTTCAAATAAAAAAAACTCATTGTATATCAAGCATCTCGTCTGAGATACTGTGTCTCTGATAGAATACAAACGTCAGATTATACACTTGCTAAAGTAGTACATCACTGAGTTCTTGTTGTATACGAATGTCATAAGCTAGTTTCTTTATGTTGGAATCAGGTACTGAAAAGTATAGTATTTTAATAAAACTGGAAAAAAGACATTTTCAAAACACTTCATCTTAGCCAAAAGTCCGAGAAGCGATTCATTTTCAAAACATACATTTAATTTTTTAATGATTCTTTTCTCTTTTAATGATTTTTCTGCGTGGGGGCACCAGGATCCTGTGTCTTAATTTATCTCGTTAGATAAACTTTGTTATTTTGGTTTCATCAATAATTAGCGATGCACTTTGAGGATCATATTCTGTGAGGATAGAAACTAGGCAGGCACAAACCGGGCACCGTGCCCCTCACCTGTAACCCAGCACTGGGGAGGTTGAGGCAGGAGGATCCTTGCAAGTTGGAGGCCAGCCTGGGTTACAAAGTGAGCTCAAGGCAAGCCTGAACTGCATAGTGAGGCCCTGTCACACAAAGACAAAAAAAGAAACTCGGCATAAATCTCTAAAGTCACTTCTTTATTATTCCAGAGGGGTTTCAGGTACCTATTTTGAATAGGTAAGTGGAAAATATTTGAAAAGGCATCAGACCAGGACAAGCCAGGAGTGGTGACAAATGCTTCTAATCTCAGTTCTCTGAGCAGCTGAGGCAGGAGGATGGCAAATTCAAGCCCAGCAGGGGCAATGTATTCAGACCCTGTCTTAAAATTTAAAAAAAAAAAAAAAATTATAAAAGGTTGGGGATGTAGCTCAGTGCAAAGGCCTTTGGTTCAGTCCCAAATTTCAAACAATCTGCTGAATGTCAGAGCAGAAGTTTTGTCTTGTTTTTGAAAGAAGGGTCTTGCTAGTTGGTCCAGGCTAGCCTTCAGTTCCTGGGCTCAAGTAACCTTGTGTCAGCCTCACAAGTAGCAGAGACTCCATGCCAGGACAAAACATTTCATTTTAGGGTTAGCAGTTTAAAACATGAGTGAAAGTTCATCAAATATTTTCCTCAAAAGAGCTCATCAAGTTGGTGAGAAACTGTTTGGTGCAACAAACATGCCTTGGGAAGCACAAGATCCCCAGTTTAATCTCTGGTTCCAGAAAAAAAGAAGAAAAAATTATAAATGAGAGTTTTCCCTGTCATCTTCATTCTGGTAGCTTCAGAAGTTCTATGCTTCTCAAAGTTGGAACTTCATTGTTACATATTATTCTCTTAAACTCTGTCCTATTGGTTCAAATTCTTTTTGTCTTTTGTTTGATTTTTGAGTCAGGGGTCTCACTGTGTAGTTCAGGCTGACCTTGACCTCACTATGTAGCTGGCCTATTACTCCTGCCTCAGACTCCCAAGTGCTGGGATAACAGTCCTGTGCCATCACACCTGGCCTTAGTTCAGATTCTGGTTGGGTTTTTTTGTACCAGGGATTGAACTGAGCACTGTGCACTTGCCAGGCAGGCGCTTATGCTGCTGAGCTATCTCCTTGGCCCTCAGTTCAAAATCCCCCCCCCCCCAAACCAGGGATTGAACTCAAGCCCTTGCCCTTTCTAAGGAAGCACTTATTCTGCTGAGCCATTTCCCCAGCCCCCTCAGTTCAAATTCTTAAGGGAGAAAATCCACTCCATTTTTAATAGCAACTTATTCAGACCTACTATGGATAGAATGTTTGCTGTAAGCATTTGGAGTGTGATGGTCCGCAAAATAATCACCTAGGGGCTGGCCAGATAACTCAGCAGACTAAAGCGCCTGCTTAGGCGGATGCAGGGACTGCAGGTTCAATCCCTGGCATCACACAAGCCATGTGGGGTGTGCAGAGATGGTGACTGAGACTGGGCGTGGTGGTACGTACCTGTAATCCCAGGACTTGGGAGGCTGAAAATGGGAGAATCACTACAAGTTTGATCTACATAGTGAGACCCAGATCCTGTAGACCCTGCACTAAATACATTAAAAAAAAAAAAAAATCCACCAGGCCCCTGTCTTCCACAGGACTCTAGTTGGGGAAACAGGTCAAATAAATGTATAATCCAAAAATGGGATAAACCTGAAGGAGGGGAGATGGCTCAGTGGAATAAGTGCTTCCCTGGCAAGTGCAAGGACCTGAGTTCAATCTCCAGTTCTGGAAAAAAAAAATTCATTAAGCCTGAAGGAAAGGTACACAGTACTATGTGAAGGTAGATAAAGGGTGAAAGTGGCTTATAACAGGGGAAGATTAAGAAGGGCTTCCTGGGGCTGGTGAGATGGCTCAGTGGTCTAAAGCACCTAAGCTAAGCTAAGCAAAGCACAGGGACAGCAGTTCAATCCCCCAGCACCACATGCCAGCCAGCCTTGCCCCCCATGGTGGGCTGAGCTGGACACACACACACACACACACACACACACACACACATAAATAAAAAAATAAAAAAAAAAAAAAAAAAAAAGGGGCTTCCTATCAGACTTTTTTTTAATGAGACAGGGTCTCACTGTGTAGTTCAGGCTGGCCTTGAACAAATGTAGCCCAGGTTAGTCTGGAACTCAAACAACACTTATCCTGCCTTAGCCTCCCAAGTGGTGGGATTAGAAGCATGTCTCACTGTTTGTGATTTAATGCGCTTACTTGATTAGAAATCTGGAATGGGAATTAATAGGCAAAGATGTGAACAGTAGAGAGTATTCTAGCTAGAAGGAGCAAAAGGTATCAAGGGGCTTGGTTAGAAGGAGCGTAGCAGAAAAGTGTGATGAGGCTGTAATATGGAGTGAGGGGACGCAAGCAGAGAACAGACCATCTTGGTTTTGTGAGCTATGTTGAGAACCACTAGTGTGTTTTTAACTGGGTGGGGTATGTGTGACAGGATGAGGTAGACATTTTGAGAAGATGATGGTGTGGAGGATAAATTAGAAGGAGGGCAGGGTAGATTACAGTGGTCTTGCTAAATGATGAGGGAATCTTAAAAGTCTGGGTGTGGTGGCCAACATCTGTAATCCCAGCACTCTGAGACTAAAGCAGGAAGGAGTTCTAGGCCAGGCTGCTGCTCCTCACTGTGAGCCCACGGAGACTGGGTGGAGGGGGCGGGTTGAACTAGAGTGGAAGAAGCAGAGCTGGGGAAAAGTGGGTAGGAGAAGTGGAGGGAGAAATACTTGGATAATAGCTTGACTATCAGGGATGAAGGAGAAGAAAGAGCCAAAGCCTTTGGCTTGTGGAACTGGATGGATCATGTGCTATTCACTGAGAGAAAAAAAGAGACTGGAAGAAGAAGATATTCTTTTATTTCTTTTGTCTTTATATCCCATTGTTTTCTCTCTCTCTCTCTCTCTCTCTCTCTCTCTCTCTCTCACACACACACACACACACACACACACACACACGTATCCAAGGTCTGATCAGGCCCTACCATGGAGTAGGAGGGCAGTAAAGATAATAAATCCAGCTTGGACATGCTAAGAATGTAATGCCTTTGGGATACAGACCGGACGTCTTCCTTGTTTCTGTATACATGTCATCTGAAAGTCATTTGTGTTGGAGAATTCCTTACTTTATGAATAGTTGGGAGTAAAATAGACTGCCTGCTGCTATGGAATGTAAAAATGCTAGTGATTTATTTTCCCAGAATCCCTTTAGCTAGGATAATGGCCATGGTCATTACTCTGACAATTAGATGCATTGAGGTGTTTTGGTTTTTGGTACCAGAGATTGAACTCAGGACTTTGTGCTTGCCAGGCAGGTTCTTAGGCCCCTGAACTATCTTCCCAGCCCTGTTTTGTTTTGTTTTGTTTTGAGACAGGGTCTCACAGTGAAGTGCAGGCTGGCTTCACATTCACAGCAGCCTCCTATTTTAGCCTCCACAGTGCTGGGATTACATCCATGTGCCACCACATCTGGCAGCATGAACTGACTTTAAAGAGGAAGCTATGAGACTGGGCGTGATGACACGCACCTGTAATCCCATCTTCTTGGGAGGCTGTAAACAGGCAGATCACTATGAGTCCAATCTAGTAGTGAGACCCTGAACACCCTGTATACCCTTCCCTAAAATACAAATAAATAAATAAATAAGTAAATAAATAAATAGCAAAAGGGCCGGGGAGATAGCTCAGTAGAATAAGCGCTTGTCGGCAAGCGCAAGGTCCTGAGTTCAATCCCCAGTACCACCAAAGAGAAAAAGAGGAAGCTATGACACCAACAGACAGGAACCTCAGAGAATCTTTTCTGGTAGCAGTGGCAGTTGTATCAAGATAATACCTCCAGGAGCTACATAGCCAGTGCTTCGAGGGGCAGCACCCACTGTCTAGCTCTGGTGCTTCGGTATTAGCATACCATTTTAGTTTTTTTGGGGGGT